GAGTTATACTCATCTCCACCATCCTTTCTCAGAATCTTCAACTTCTGACCACTCTACTTCTCAGCCTTCACCTTTAACTTCTGGAACTCAGTAAACACTTCATGCTTGAACTTGATGAGTGTTACCCATGTCATTCTTGTGAACTCATCCACAAAAGACACAAAATATTTATTTTCTCCAAGTGAAGATACTGGAAATGGTCCACGCACATCAGAATGTACTACTCTCAAAGCATGCTTCGCTCTGGGGGCTACTTCTGATGCAAATGGCAATCTGGGTTGCTTGCCTTTCATGCATATATCATATGACTTCTCAGGCTTCATAATCTTCGAAATGTCATGTACAAGCTTCTTAGAACTTAGATGCCCTAAGCTTCTATAGTTCAAGTACCCCAACCTCTTGCGCCACAACTTACTGTCACCTTCGGTGCCTTCTGCACTAAGACACTATGCTTCAGCTGTTTCTACATTCACCTTAAATGAAATTGAGGAAGAAGAGAGAAAATGATGAATGATAAAAGCTGCTACAAATGATTGAAAAAGATTGTTGTAATTAATGAAACCTAGTACACCTATTTGTACACAAAAATAGTAAAGATAAGAATGCCACATAGACCCTAAGAAAGAATGTTCCAAATATAACAAATACTAAATTACCCATTTAATATCATCCCTTAATTTAGTATTTATCAGAAACTAACAACACAAATTTCAAAAAAAAAAAATATTCTTACACATAATTAAACTAACATTTAAATTAGCTAATGAACAAAATAAAAATAAAAATATACATACATGCTCATATATTAGTAAAAACAAGGGTGACTTTGGAAGGGACATTGGAAGAGAGAGTGCCATAGGCCAGCATAGGGACATCACATTGCTTATTAATAGTAACTGTCATGGTACTATAGTACTATAATCAACTGCAATATGGTTGCAGAGATGGGTGATTGAATTTAGGGTACCATTTTAAAAGCTACCAACACTTCAATGACCGATTTATTTGTAGAGATGGGTGATTGAATAGACGGCTAACGCTAACCAAGGCACTTTGCAACAAATGGGGTTGATTGTAATTAATTTCTCAAGAAAAGGTGACATATAATTTTAAAAACTACTCTTTTAATTTTTTTAAAATTTTATTGGAATATAATTTGGATTATTTTAATTTATTTTAAGTATAATAATTTATATTATTGTTACATAATGTTATAAAATTAGTCATGTTAAACAAACTCAGTGAATAGATATGCACATAGCGCGAGTTCAAATATGTAATATCTCATTTATTTACATTTTAAAATTTAAATTTAAATCATTAAACTACTTAAGTAAAATAAAATAAAAATTTAATTACGTGACATGACAAAGTTAGTTTAAGTGGCGCCAAAATTACATTCACATATATTAAATCAAATTATTAATTAATTAAAATGGAAGAAGAATTTAAAAATTCACAAATTTTAAATAGAGAGGACAAATGTAAAAACATTTAAATAAAAAATTTAAAAGGTGATCAAAAAATATATTTTAATTAATCTTTAAAAATCAAACTGGGTGTCGAACTCATAAAAGTTCAATTTAAAATTTAATTGATTTAATCGATTAAAGCTACAATCAAATTATATATTAAATAAATTAATAATATAAAATCAAATTTCGTAATATAGTATATTTACAATTTAATAAACTAATATTTTAAAAATTTATTATAAACAAACAAGTACACATAGCAACCCAACATAATTTTATATTTAATTTTAACATTTATTTAAGAATAATATGAATAAATTAAAGAATTATAATAAAAATAAGTTAAATTAATTTAAATCAAAATTAAAATAATAAAATATAATATTTAAAATAAAATTTGAATAATCAAAAATACCTAAATTAAATAAAAAAGAATTATAAAAAAATAATAAAATATACGTATTTGAACAACCGTAAGTAATTTAATACATATTTTTTAATCGAATAATTTTACAAAATTGACTCTGATTTTTTATTTAAAATTATCTAATATATTAGATAGTTCAATATAATTTTTTTTTGATTTTATTCTGATTTTAACCCTTTAACGATTTTAAAAAATTGACCAAATTGAATTCAATTCTAATTTTCAGTCCAATTGATTGAATCGAGCCGTTCGATTTAATTTTTAAAACATTAATTTAAACTAATAAAAAATTATAAATGTGTTAGAAACATTCTAATATGGACCAAAAATTAATTTTATTATTTTTAATACATTTTTATTAAAAAAAAACTACTATGAAAAAATCACTACAAATTATAAGTCTTAAATTATTTTTAATAGCTTGATATTAGATTTATCGATATTATAAATAATACTTTTTTATTATATATTACTAAAAGATAAAAATTCTATTTAAATATAACACATATAAAATATAAAATAATTATAATTAACAATAATAAAAATTAAGTTAAGAAATTGTATATAATATTTTGTTCTGGACTGGGCCGGACTGGCCCAAAAGCAACGATAAAGGCCCAATCCAAACGGACTTGCTAGGGGTCACGCCGACCTAAGGACCACATCTATGCCCGACATACTTCACTAGGGCGACATCCTCGACCTCGTACTATCCAGCTCGACTTCAGCTCGAGCACTCCTCCAATGATAGACACGGTCCACTACACTCTCAACAGGATCTCGAAAAGACCGCGTCCTTGTCCGCCCGCACTTCATGCAGGACATTCAGGAAGGGGACCACATGCGGGTCCCCACTACGCACGTAGAACCTGACAGTTCCTCCATTGGAGCAAACCTGCCCGACCCAATAAAGGAACCTTGACCCAGCGCTGAGGGCTATAAATACCCTCTGTTCCCAGAGGGTCAGGTATTCATTCTATCACATATACTCACACTTTGCCTGCTCGTACTCTTACTTACTTCAGCATCGGAGTGCCTTGCAGGTACCCTCACCTCGTTCAAAACTTCAGTTCAGAGCCAGCCGTGACGGTCCAAGTCTGATCAGGTTAGATCATATTTCATAATAACAATTTTATCATTTACTGATAATATAATTTGATATATATATATATATATATATATATATATATATATATATATATATATATATATATATATATAATATTAAGATATGACAAAATTGATTCAATACTAGTTTGATCAACTTACCGGTGGCGGTTGGGATCACGAAAGACAATTTTTGGAAGACTAATTCGTTCAGTTGTCATCAATTCTGTTACTATTTTTGTGATTAACGTAATTTGGAGAGTTAGGTGTGAGCTTCGTTTTCGTATAGAGATAATTTCAGAATTAGATACGTATCCTTCTTTTTCCGTATACAGTATAGGGTTACCTTTACTATGCTATATCATTATTTCTCAAATACTAGAAGTATATACGTGTACAAAAACTATACACACAATGAGATTTCGATATTATTACGCGTGGAAAATAATTTACAAAATATCTACACAATTAGATTACATATTCATACAATGCATAGGTGTCCAATTATTCATATACTAAAAGGTATAAAATATTTTAAAGAATATTTGATCAGATAAATTTTATAAGAAATCAGCATAAATTCAATCATATGCAGTGCAATTTTATTAGATAGGTTTATATGAAAAAAATTGTTCAACGTAATTTAATTCTATTTATGATCTTGAAGATTTATTTTTTTGGAAAGAAAACTATGTATTGTAAAAATTAATAAATAATAAATGTGAACATGGAATATTATGATTGACCACAATCTTAGTCTTGCAGCAATATTTTTGACCACAAGAAAAATCAAAATATATATGACACGGTTCCTTAGCAGCCTAATAGTGGCCCTTTGAATGATTAATTGAAATAATATAAATTGGAACATATAATACAAAATGAGAAAAAGATTGATACTGAAAATGTAAAATAGTTTTAAATTATTAATTAATCATAATTATATATTTAATTAAAATATATTTTATTTTAAAAAGAATTAAATGATACGATAGATTATTTGTTTTCTATTAGATGATAATGTAAAATTATTTATATCGTCAATGTATATCAATTAAATTTATTAAAAAAATATTTAATTTTAAATTTATAATTTTATAAATAATCTAATAAAATAATTATATAATTTTAGTTATTGAACTTTATCTCATATCATCCAATTAAAATTATCTTATAAACTTTATATCTTCCATTTTTTTAATTTAGGTATACATAATTTTAAAATTTATATGTTCCAATTTAATAATTTTAATTTTACAATCGAAATATATAATTAAAATTAAAATTAAAATTAAATAATTATATAAAATATATAAGTTAATTTTTAATCAAACACATAATATAAAATTAAATAACTAAAATATATAATTAATCTTCCAATTTAATTTAGCACTTTAATCTTTAATTTTTGGAACACATAATATAATATTTTGTAAAACAATAAAACTAAAATTAGTAAAAAAAAATTAGAGAGGCCAAAATTTTTAAATAAATACACATACTAAAAATAAAAATTAATCTATTTAAAAGAGCCAAATCTTTTAATCCAAAGTATAAATTAATAGAAAAAATTTAGAGAGGCCAGAGTTTTTAAATAAATTAGATGGACTAAAAATAAAAATTTTAAAGCATAATTATTGTAATTGATTTCCTTTTTAAAAATAAAAATTTTCAATCCATTTCAATTAATCAATCCAAGAATCACTATTCCTCTGCTACTGAATTTGCTGCGATGTTTTTTTCACAAATATTAATTAATAATTACACATGTGTCCAATTAACATGTGCAAGTTTCCTATACGTGTAAGTATATATTATATTAATTGGTAAAATTATAAGTCAATCTATTTTTCTTTTCTTCTATAAATACTCAACTTCCTTCCCATTTCATATATAGTATCTATATTTTGAAGTTTCTTTTTATTCTTTGCTAGAGTATAACTTTTGAGAAAAAAAGTGATAATAATTCTGCTTCTGAAAAAGAAGAAAAGATGCTTCATAAGATTGTGGATGTTCTAAGTGGCCATGATGAGAACAAGAACATGATGAGTGGAAAAGTGGTTTTGATGAAGAAAAATGTGTTGGATTTTAATGATTTTAGTGCTTCTATTATTGATAATATTCATGAGTTTTTGGGGAAGAAGGTTTCTCTCCAACTTGTAAGTGATGTTAAGCTTGATTCTGGTTAGTATTCTCATCCTCTCACACTTTCTTCTTTTTTTTCTTCTCACAATTAATCATGTTTATATTTTATTTCTTATGATGTTTACTAGTATTGTGGTGAAAATGATTAGTGATTAATTTATGGTTAAATCCTCTCCAAGAGATCTATTCTTTCTTCTTTGATTCTCTCACTCTTTTTTTAGTTGGAGAATGATTCATGTTAGAGAAAATTCTACTCATGCAAAAAAACTAAAATAAATTATTTAAATAAAATGTTAAAATAATTTTAAATACCATGAAATTAAATATGAACAAATAATTACTTTATAGATTTTTTTTCTTCCAAATTATAGAGTAGCTCAAAAAAAAAAAAATACAACATGTGAAAATTTTGAGGCATTGCTTGCAAGCAATAAATGCATGGGACAAACTAACAAAATATCTAATATTCATTAATTCTTTCTTATATTGAACTAGTACTTTTTTTTCATCAAAATTTTGAAAGTTTTCATTTGACATTTATTATAATGTTAGTTGGTTTATCCAAATATAGATACCAAATTTTGTTAAGAGGATTTTTATTTTATTTTTTCATATTATAAATAAAAAATAAATAAATTTTGATTTTTTTGTTTACCTATTTCCTCTTGTGGCTAACATTTTTAAGTAATTAAATTTGTTAATTATTGTTATTATTAACTATTTTTTTAATCAATACTAATATGTTATGGTGAAAAATCATGAATTTTGAAGGCAATGGCATGAAAGGAAAACTTGGGAAGCCTGCATATTTGGAAGACTGGATTACCACAAACACATCATTGACAGCAGGCGAATCGACATTCAAAGTTGCATTTGATTCGGACGATGTCGGTGATATTGGAACACCAGGAGCATTTCTAATCAAGAATAATCATCATAGTGAATTCTACTTAAAAAGCTTGACACTAGAAAATGTTCCAGGCCAAGGTGTTATTCATTTTATTTGCAACTCTTGGGTATACCCTGCACAAAAATATCAAAAGGATCGAGTTTTCTTCGCGAACAAGGTAACTATATATTAATATTGTAGTTGACTTATATTTTTGCTTGTTGCGTATAGATATGTTCAATATTGATTGCGTGAATGTTGTTGATGTTTGCAGACGTATCGTCTAAGTGAAACGCCGAAGGGACTTGTTAAGTATAGAGAAGAAGAACTAGAGACTTTAAGAGGGAATGGAAATAATGTGCAACTCGAAGAATGGGATAGAGTTTATGATTACGCGTACTATAATGATTTGGCTGATCCTGATAAAGGTTCAGAATATGTTCGTCCGGTTCTTGGAGGGTCTAGCGAATATCCTTACCCTCGGAGAGGAAGGACTAGTAGACCGCCTGCCAAGTCAGGTTCGTTTTTTTGCACGTGCGTTCAATCACATTTCGTTATAGTTCAGTAAGATGCGATTGAAAGACAATTTTGATGATGATGTTTTCAGATGCTAATAGTGAGAGTAGATTGAAGCTTGCGATGAGCTTAGACATCTATGTTCCGAGGGATGAAAGATTTGGTCATATCAAATTGGCTGATTTTCTGGCTTATGCATTGAAAGCCATTGCTCAAGTTATCCAACCTGAACTGGAAGCTCTATTTGACAACACTCCTAATGAGTTTGATACCTTTGAAGATGTGCTTAAACTCTATGAGGGTGGGATTAAGGTGCCCGAGGGCGTTCTTAAGGTAATTAGAGATAAAATCCCTGCAGAGATACTCAAAGAAATTCTTAGAACGGATGGTGAAAGATTGCTCAAATATCCCGTTCCTCAAGTGATTAAAGGTATTCTTTAACACGCACATGTGTCAGTGTCACACACCAGACATACGTTCAAATGTAACAACATGTATCAATGTAAAACATGAGACACATGAGACATACGTTCATTTTGAAGTGATGGTGCTACGTATATAAGATCTTTACATATTATATTGCATACAATAATCAAGAAAAGTCATGCATTTTGTGAAGATCGTTATTGCATTGTAATGTAACTCTTAATGATTTCGAGCAGAGGATAAATCTGCATGGAGAACCGACGAGGAATTCGCTAGAGAAATGCTGGCTGGTGTAAATCCTGTCATAATCCATTGCCTGCAGGAATTCCCACCAAAATCTAATCTAGATCCTAAAATCTATGGCGATCAATCTAGTACAATAAAGAAAGAACACGTCGAGAGCAACCTGGATGGACTCACAATTGACGAGGCAATTGCGCAAAAGAAGGTGTTTATATTGGATCACCATGACGCGCTTATGCCATACTTGAGAAGAATAAACTCAACTACTACGAAGACTTACGCTAGCAGGACGATCCTATTCTTGCAAAACAACGGAACTTTGAAGCCACTGGTCATTGAACTGAGCTTGCCACATCCCGAAGAAGATCAAAAGGGTGCCATTAGTGAAGTCTACATTCCTGCAGAAAATGGCGTCGAAAATTCCATCTGGCAGTTGGCTAAAGCTTATGTAGCAGTAAATGACTCTGGCTATCACCAACTTATCAGCCACTGGTATAATATAAGTACTTTTTTCAACAAAATTACTCTCGCGGTCCCTTAACTTTTTTCCACATATAACAGGTTGCATACTCATGCGGCGATTGAGCCATTCGTTATATCTGCAAACAGGCAACTTAGCGTGCTTCACCCGATTCATAAACTATTGTATCCTCACTTCCGCGACACAATGAATATAAATGCACTCGCGCGTCAAATCCTCATCAATGCAGGTGGCATTCTAGAGGCCACAGTTTTTCCAGCCAAGTATTCGATGGAGATGTCATCCGCGCTTTATAAAGACTGGACTTTCCCCGAACAAGCACTACCCGTAGATCTTATCAAAAGGTAAACAAACCATACAATTTGTAAACTCCATACTATTTTTTCATGGTAATGAGCTCAAACCTTGTTGATTCTTTCAGAGGAATGGCTATTGAAGATTCATCGTCACCGCATGGTCTTCGACTATTGATCAACGATTACCCTTACGCGGTTGACGGGCTAGAGATTTGGTTTGCCATCAATACATGGGTTCAAGACTATTGTTCCTTCTACTACAAGACTGATGAAACAGTGAAAAAAGATGTAGAACTACAATCTTGGTGGAAGGAGTTAATCGAAAAAGGCCACGGTGACAAGAAAGACGAGGCGTGGTGGCCAAAGATGCAAACAGTTAAAGAGTTGATTGACACTTGCACAATCATTATATGGATTGCTTCTGCTCTACACGCAGCTGTAAACTTCGGACAATATCCTTATGCAGGTTACTTGCCAAACAGGCCAACGATAAGTCGAAAGTTCATGCCTGAGAAAGGAACTGAAGATTATGATGAACTCGTGGCGAATCCTGATAAGGCTTTCTTGAAAACAATCACAGCGCAATTGCAGACACTCGTTGGCATTTCGCTTATAGAGCTATTGTCTACACATTCTTCTGATGAGGTCTATCTTGGACAAAGAGATGCTGAGAATTGGACAAATGATGCTGAGGCTTTGGAAGCATTTGAGAGATTTGGAAAGAAGTTGAAGGAGATTGAAGAGAGGATTGTAGCTATGAATGGTGATGTTAGTTTGAAAAATAGAGTTGGAGAAGTTAAAGTTCCATACACTTTGCTTTATCCTACTGGTGAAAATGGATTAAGTGGTAAAGGCATTCCCAATAGTGTATCCATATGAGATTATTTGAGTCTATAGTTTGCGGTCACACATTAATGAAAATTTGATCAAGATCAGACGATTCTGATAAAAATTAAATTTTGTATTTTTTGGAGTCATGAACTTGATCAGACGGTTGTTAATTCTTCAAATGTGTGAACGGACCATCGTCAAGAAATTTAATTTATGTTTGATAAGTATGTTAAATTTTAAATTTATAAATTTGTATTTGTGGTAAATTTAGAATTTTGCTATTTATAATTTTTTATAATTAGTGAAATTAAGTAATGTATATTTTTTGTGTGATCTTAGTTTATAATCTTGATGTGTTTTCCCTGAAATTTAATCTTACCAAGTTTCAATTTCTAAATAATCTAGATCAACAAAAGCATTGCAATTCACTTTGTAATCATCTCATGATCAATATTTTTTTTATCTCAAACCCATCAAAATTTCCAAAACTTTTATTTTAATACAATCTTTAATATCGTCCCAAATTAAAGAAGTTTTAAACTGTATTTAAGAAAAGGGTTTTAGAAAATTTTAAAACGATTAAATAAACTTTGTATAGTTAATTAATATTCTAATAACACATTTAAAATTAAAAGCATATTACGAAATAGTAGTAAAGAAGTTTGGACTTCAACTAGTGAGAAATCCGTGTTATCATGGATTTTGTATGATTTTCATATCGCATGATCTAATATTGATTTGTAAAGTTCTATCTTGTGTCAAAATTAAACTAATAAAAAACAATCAAAATATAATCAATTTTGAATAAAATAGTATATTAAACAACAAAATTTACATGACTTGTACTAATAATATATAAATTTTTCAACATTATAAGTCCAAATATAAACTTCTCAATATTATATATTTCATAGTTGAATTTGTCAATGAATGAACCAACCAACTAACAACAACGACTCGCAACATACATCTGCATGGGAAAATATATCAAATTAGATATTAAATATTATGTATTTTTTTTAAAACTAATGTAAATATATGATATTTGAACACATAAAATAAACATTGGGATTTAATTTGTATCACAAGAAATAGGTGAAAAGGATTACCAACTAACAAAGTGCTTGGAAGACTTCTTTGTATACAACATTTATAGTGGTCGAACACGGTGCATTCTGCTTGTCATGTATTAAGATTTTAAGACCACTTTTGGTTGTAACTCTTGAAATTGCAACATACAATTGTCCATGACTAAAAACAGGTGTAAGCAAATACAATCCGACATTATGAAGCGATTGACCTTGGAATTTATTAATTGTCATTGCATATGAGACAATGATTGGAAATTATCTCCTAGTCAACTTGAATGGCCACGGTGACTAAGAGGGTGATATAGACATTCGAGGAATGTAAAAAATGTTACATATGTTCTTTCCTGATATAATTTTGGCCTCAATGACGTGATTTTTAACCTTGTAACAATTAATCTTGTTCTATTGCACGATCCATCAGTTTGATCCAAATTTCTCATTAGCATTATGGGAGTACCAACCTTCAATTTGACCCTATGATTTGGAAGTCCGATGTTCTTAGTTTACTTAGGAATTCTGGGGTTAGAACTTCATAAGCTTCAGTATAACTTGTATCGGTTCTATCAATCGAAACTTAGATACTCTTTCTCTTCTCATAAAAAATGCCATGAAGTGAAAATATTAATACATTAATAAAACCAACATGATATAAATTTGTTGTTAGAAGTTGTGTGCATATATATATATATATATATATATATATATATATATATATATATATATATATATATATATATATATATATATATATATATATATATATATATATATATATATATATATATATATATATATATATATATATATATATATATATATATATATATATTAAAGTTAAAATTATATTACCTAGTATCATGTCCAGTACATAGTGGTTGATTTTGTCCATAACTTCACTGGTTAATGCAAGAATAGTTTTTCCTTATAAGTATCCAACATCCTGAAAATTGTCACGCAAATTGAGATATATGCTACCAATAATAGCTTTTATAAGATCATCAAATTGGATATCAATAATTCTTGAGGAATCTCTATCTCAACCAATCCATCATTTGGTTCACATATCTTACCATCCCCAACATTTAAGATCCATTTTGAAAACTCAGTCAGTTCATTCGAACTTGTATTATCTCTTCCTTGTTGCAGCCTCATGTTTTTTGTTAGTGTTAGAACTTGACAATAGTCTCATACATATGATGAGCATATTGATGCATGGATAATATCAGAACGCCCCGCTCTTGGAACAACTGGAAGTATCTATCTGAAATCTCCTCCAAAAACAACAACTTTCCCATCAAAGATTGTATTCACAAGACCGTATTTTCTCATGACATCTTTGAGTGTCTTATCCAATGCCTCAAAACAGTTCTTATGAGACATATGTGCTTCGTCCCATATTATAATATTGGTTGCTTCAAATAACTGGGAATGTTCGTCATTTTTGTCAACATTGCAAGTAGAGTTGTCAAGTGTTGGCACTGGTATTTTAAACTTTGAGTGAGTAGTTCTTCCACCTGGAAATAATAACAAAGTTATACCACTTAAAGCAATGGTAAGAACAATTTTTTTCTGCGAATGAAGTGCACTTGATAATATTCTCCACATGAAAGTTTTACCCGTCCCTCCATAACCATGTAGAAAAAACAATCCTCCTCTTTGCTTGTCTACAACTTCCAGAATCGTATCAAATATTGAGCGTTGTTCATATGTGAATTAAAATGTAAACATTACTATGTGTATAACTAAAAAAACCGATTTTAATATCACAGGTTGTGAATACAAATTAAAAGAATAACATGTAAGTGTGTGATAGAGAGTTTGGAAATTTTGTCGTTCAGTTTGGGAATTGTAATTACGTTTGTCCCAAATCAGTCTATTTCCCACGTGTCGTGTGACATGTGAATCTGGATAAGGCATGTCTTTAAATTCATGTAAACTTATTCGATTTGATTGCAACATATTCTCAATTTCAATGAGTGTCAAATTCTTCAACTCTGTTATTGACAACTGCATATCTATAAAAAAATATATACAAACAACACTTCACATACAGATTTATGACAATAATCACATAAATGTTCAAATTATAGAAATTAACGGCAAAGTAAAGCTTACGACAATATTGAGTATATCTTTGACAATGTTGCATTACAATAAAATTACAACATCAACATAAAATACAAAATGACAGCAATAAATTAACTGTATAAATCGCAACAACATGTACATCAATATGAATGTTTACGCGGTTGCATTAAGATATACATCAGTATCAGCCATATGCAACTTTTTTTTGTAGCAGCATGGTTCAATTAGATGGAAAGTCTATTACAACAAACAATTGTGTGCATCATTTTTAAATAATATCTATTATAATGTTTACAAATAATTTGTATCCAATATCTTGCTGATATATAAATGTAACAGTAACATCGATTGGTCATCTATTAAAATATATATTAATGTACTATAAATAATTAAAAAAACAGGAATATACCTCTTTTATTTGTTACTTGTCTTTGTTGATAAAGAATACTATCATATAACATCCTCCAAGTTTTTTCCCAAACATGTCGTAGTCTATTAATTATTCCAGACAGTAGCATAGTAACAAATAACTTTCTCAGAAAATGTTCAAAACCCCAATCATTCACCTCATTTATGGCTGCAACATACTCCTTGTCATCGTTAAGAAATCTCGTTTTGAAGCATGAGTCCTGAAAACTATCCCAAATTATTCCACCCACTTTTTTAATATCATCATAACATGTTGGCCCATTGACAACTGTAAGCATCATTCTTATGTAATACAACTCATTGGTACTTGGAGGAACCCAAATTAGTCTTCCAATTGTATGGCCTCTCTTATGTGGTCTCCATCGTCGATATCTTTTATCATAAACAAAATTGGTCAGAAAATTAGAGTATGTCATATTTCTTGCCTCTGCATATGTCTTGTTTGCTTCCATCCAAGCGGTAAACATTGATTCTTTCACACTCGGTTTGTCAAGGACTTCATCTATCAGTTCATAATCAGTATAGTAAACCGGATTGTCTCCCTCAAGATGAAAATATAACCTTTCAACTACAGGAGATCTCCCATGAATAGGAAATGAAAAGATCCTCCAACATGCTTCACTTGGTGAGACATATCTACAATCAAGATATTGCTTAATTTCATCGACATTTCTAATAAGAGAACTTCTGTCTATCTCATTATCGACAACATTTGTGATAATTATGTCACATCCCTTGTTAATATACTTGAATAAGTACTTAACTGAATTACCCTGATTTTACCACTCGATATTGATGTGTCCCTGAAATTTCTTCAACAAAAATGGGTTATAAGGAATGACGTATATGTTATCGGGAACTACATTCTTCTTCATCACTGTAATTCTAGTTTCCCTTCTTCTGTACATAGGATATCCATCGTGATCAACAACAGTTTGAGCCTGATATTGTTTGGGAAAGAATTTAGAGCACTTCCTGTTTTTCGTGCAAGGTGATGACCAATTTGCTAAACCACATGGCCCATGAATCATATGTATCTTGACCAAATGATACAATTGTCTATCATCATTTTCAGATGGTATCTCTGCTGAAATGATATTGTTTATATCATTTAGAGTGGGATACTTGCTCGAGGGATGCATGAATAGCAAAATATGTGCATGTGGTAATCCCCTCTTTTGGAACTCAATTGTGTATATATTTGAAAAAATTGATATTAGTAACAAAAGATGTATATAAAAGATATTCCTTTTAAACAGAGAAAGTCACATAATGAGAACTTGATGATTATATAGTAAATACAACTTACATGCAACCACTCTCCCTAAGACATACTTCTTTGTTAGATCACACAACAACTCATCTAACTTAATTTTAAACACTTTTGATATAATATTTGGAGGATCATGAGGTTGCATATTAATTTTGTTTAGTAACCTT